TTTCAATAGGCTATGCACAACATAAGCACACAACTCATCTGCGTGAATGTGTATTGCTTTCATAAATTCTCCACTGCTTATATCACTGAAAATAAAGGTCTTCATTATATATTTGAGTAATCAATACTTTTAAGTTATGTTTCACCAGGGAAAACGAAAATAAGTAAGGTTAAATTAATGCTGTCACTTTCTATAAACAGGTCATGGTTTCCTGCTATAGAAACTGCTAACTTCATTAGTTTACAACAGGAAATCAACACTGTAGCATATTTTAAAAGTCTAATTTACTTAGAGTAATAAAAAGCCCCCCTCAAGGCTCATCATGTATGTCATATTATGCTTAGCTTTAAACACTCTAGCTAGAGAACTGTATGGAAAAATCTCAGCAAATCAAGTTGATTAATATTCTGCATTTGTATGCAGTAGTGCTCTCCACTCACTAAGTATACATAAATATTATTTTATTAGATTTGAAAGCAGTTGTGTTAGGTGGGATAATAAAAAGTCTCTATTTTACATTATCTTTCTCAGCAATATAGTCTTAAAAACAAAAGGAAAAGAAGGAAATTACTACACTAAACTCACTAAAGAAAAGGTCAGAAATTAAGGATTCCGGACTTGTAAAGCCATGCTTAGATTCGCAGAGCACAGAATTCTCCATTCAATGTAGGAACATCTACACTAGGTTTGCAGGGATCTCCTTATCTTCAATCATATGGTTAGATAAAAAGCTAGGGATAGTTTTCAATTTCTAGTAGTCATCACAGTTCACAGCACCTTTCTGAAGGAATTCCATTTCATGAGGCTGCTGCTGGAGGGCAACCAGAGAACAGAACAAGAACACAAGCACAACTTTAATTGGAGTAATAAAAAAAATAAATAAATAATTGAAAGCAAACAAAAGAAGTGGCAAAAGATCTTGGCCTCTACATTTCTACCTTTCTACTTCTACATTATTACACATTAATTAACTACTAATTACACTAATTAATACACAGTTCTACTTTTTGGAGCAATGTTCCCTTGCCTGTCAACTGGCTTCTAGTTCCTGTTTTAAAATTCACTCCTTAATACACATTTCTCCCAGAAAATCTTCCAGCAGAGTTTGATTTTTCTATTCAAAATCAGTCACCAAAATTAAAGGAGATCAACACATCATAATTGTTTCATTAAATTCTCAACTTACTGTCAACTTTGGTAGAAAAATCAGAAAGACGTATCCTCAGCCTATGCTACTATACACCCTAACAAATACTATTCCTTTCAACCACAGCAGATAAACAACAGAAATCATTGCAAATCTGATTTTAACTAATATATTTTTAAAACTCTGGGGCTCCTAATGACAGTTAAGAGACTTTCTCAATTCGCCATTAACCAACTCATCAACTGTATTTACACTAAGTGTGGCATTTCGCTTGAGGATTGCTACGCTTCAATGTTAGAGCCTGCTGTATATAGCCTCCTAACCAAGAACATTTTTTGGATATTCAAGTCAAGATGTCATGCTAGCGCTTATAACCATGTAATTTGTCATTTTTGAGATTTTTTTTAGGCTCTTGAAGAATAGGAACTTGCCCGATTCATTAGTTATCCCTCAGTAAGAACAGAAGAACTGAATTCTTTTCCAATTACACCTCTTCATATTTCAACATATTTATTAAATTACCAAGCAGAGCTTCTCTTGGAACATTTCCCATTATAGTAATTCCCCACAGATTTTCTTATAAGGAGACAAAGTGCAGTGTCGGGGCACAAGTAAATTGTAAGATGGCTGTAGGACTGATGGCTCTAACCTAATAAATGTTATTATCAGAATTATCATGTAGAACATAATAGGATATTTTTGCAGTACAATCACATTAGTGTTGGTAAGTTTGATTTCCTGAAGACAACGTGAAGATTTTCATGCAAAAAGCAGCACATATTTCTCTATTTTCATGTCATATTTTTATACTAATCAACACTCTAATTTTGATAACAGATCTAAAAGCACTTGCATTAACTTCCAGCTGACTACACCTACAGTACAATACACGTGAATGTCACACATACAGAGCAACTTAAGGAACTTGTTATGAATATAAATAGATACTGCTACAAAACTGTTTAAATACATAAAGCTTATGCAGTGCAGGGATAAAGCCTATGTATGATGTACATACCAACAGGAAAAATGAGGTTCACAAATCTTCATGGCTGGGATTGTCTTCAATGACTTTTGGCAAAGGCCATAAGCAAGCCATTGCCTTAAAGAAGCTTTTATAAAAAGCCCAACAAATCAACTACTCTCAAATACACGGAAAATTATTTACCCTGGTTTTCAGAAGAGTTACATGCTGAAAGAATTAAAATAACCCCTTGCATTAAATAAATCCTATTAGAATAAAAAAAAAAAATCTAATACTGGCTTATCTTCAGCATGGTATCTGTGTATCATGTCTCCCTGTGATTCTATGAAAAGGGCAAGATTAAAGATCTTTCAGAAAATATATATTTTATCTGCTATCTTCATTTGCTCATATATGTACAGCCATAAATTTGATCACTTCCAATCTCGTGACCTTACAGAGTTTAAAGCTTTGTGTTTAATTATTTGCATAACTTAACTTGCACATGGCCATGTGATCATTTCTATATTAAGCTGTTCATAAAAAAAAAAAAGTCTTGAAAATATATTATAATTTATTTGAATTGAAAAAGGTAAGAAAATGCTATTTACATATCAATGGAGATAGCTACTGGGGGAAAACAAACAAACAAACAAGGCCAAAACAAACAAACAAAAGTCTGATATGGTATTACTAACAGGAATTCTGGCTGAAAAGATTTTATCCTGGAAGTAGGCCAAAGCTTAAGATAGCAGCCAGAACAGCAACCTGTCAAAAATGTTTAGATGGCAGCATCTAACTTCAGGACTTTAAGTACTTCAGTAGTAAGCTGATAAAAGTCTCTGAAAATCAATCCATAATACAGTGAGAAGACTTAAGACAATGACTTTTAAGCAAACACATATAACCATCTTGTGCCAGATCCTAACCCAGTATAAACAAAGACATCATTTTTATCTGGTGAAATTCGTTCACCTTATACTGTCGATCTCTTCTTCCAATTCTTTCTTCTAACTGAACTATTGAAGAAAACAAGTGATAACTAGGCCAATCCTAAATTTTCTGTAGCTAGCACCACCACCAGACAGACAAATCACCAAGCAAATGCTATTAAGAGAAACGCCTTTGTGTTTAAAGATGACGTATATACTGCAACAAACATGTCTCTACATTACTGCTCAGAACAGAAATGGCTACCATTTTTCAAAGGCCAACGTAGATCTTTCCATTTTAAAGGCATCTCATTTGCTCTGGATAATGAGCCAAGAGTAGAAAGATTATGTGTCATATCACATCTCCATCTTAATTACTTTTCCACAAAGAAAATGTAAAATAGGCATTATAATCCTAGCTTTTCCAGAACCTGCTACAAGTCTTTATAATAATACACTGGGCATAACTTTTCTGTCACCATTAATTCAGTCCTTTAAAATATCAAAAAAAAAAAGGAGGAAAACACACATGAGGCAAAGCACAACATGTTAGGAAATTTTATTTATGGAAAATGATTCTGCCAGTTAATTTGTTTCCAACAGGCCCAGGGAATAAGCAAGTCTAAACATTACAATTTCTTATAAAAAGCAAGGCTGGTCTCTGGAGATTTTTGACCCATGTTTTTTCACCCATGAGTTGACTTTCTGTAACCACTTAGCAGTGTTATTCATTATTGGTTTAAAAGGACCTTTCTGTGCAGTTAATTTATTGTACCCTCCAGCTTCCTAGCTCTTGACAATTTAGGAAACTATGATCATACACATTGCTGTTATAGCCCTCCATACTCTCTGGCAACTTTGCTTTCTACCAAATGCAATGGAGCTCATGTTTTGTTCTAAAGGTAGATGTGCAAACAGGTTTAAAATGGTATAACACAATGGTTAAATACAAACTTCAAGAATTATCATACAAAGAACAATGGAAACAGGAGCGTAATTCAAGCAGCAATGGTTTCTCTGTACTCATTTGCTGCATAAATTTGCATCAAAGGAGGGAGCAGAACTTAAAATGATACACACCTGCAGGGATATATGTCATAAACCCACATCCACGTGAGTCTTTATGAATGGGCAGTGTCGGTATATCCATGTGTGGATGAAGTAGTAAAGGGTCAGAAAAAAGCATGTGAAAGAGATAGTCAGAGATATTCCTACTTATAAGCATCCCTGTGATTATTAGAGTATCAAAACTATATATCAAATCATAACAGAGTACAAATTCAGACCTCTGCCTCTGATTAAGTATAAATCTCACACGCTTTACACTTCTCTTGAGTCCTTTGGAGCAAGCAGGACTTCTACTGTTTTTAGGAAAAGGAACGCAGGATTCCCCACTGCAGGTGTCATGGCTTGGGTAATCCTATTGTAAAATTATTCTGAATACACTGTAAGTTCACCTTGGCTATTGTGATTAATCAATGCAGTGCAACAGTGCCTTAATCAGCCACGAGTACATACCAACCATGAGTGAAAGATTCAAGTTGAACTCATGCCTGAAGACAAGGAAGGCTTGTTTGTTTGAAGCATCTTATTCTAGCACACACAAAATCAGGTTGCAGTTATATCAGAATGGTAACTGCCTGGTGGAAGAAGTCATTCTAAATATCTAGAAAATCAAATGGGTCAGCCCTTGGTGCTGTGCAGATGGAATTCTTCTGTATCTATAAAAATGTCTTCCCTTTGATAACCCACCCATATGAAGACCAAATGCAGTATATGAGAGCATCTTCCTAGCAAACAGCACAAGCATTTAGAAATCATACTAAGAAATGCATACTGCTCTTCCCTTCTAAGAAAATGACTCTTCGCTATTTCCAAGTAATTGTACTGAACTCATTTTCATCATATTTCTAAAATAATAGTCTCCTTGAAGATAGTCAGTATTTATCTGTCTTACCGGAACGATGGTGATGTTGTTCTTCTACAAACTCCAAGTCAAGCATTAGGTCATCTTCATCCAACTCACAGGAACCCAAGTTATTCAAAACATCCTAATACATATTAAATTAAAAACAAACAACAAAAGAAAAATAAGCATTTAGACAAATGGGTTAACCAAACTCTTCTACACAACAGAATGAAGAGTCAGACCTGGAAAATATGTTTAAGTTGCTACAGGAAGTTTTTCTATTAACATTGGACTAGTGAGAAAATGTATGTAATAACCATCCAAGTAGGCCATGTATTTGTTATGTAAGTAGGACAAGTATTTGTCACCATTCCCTGTTTTAGAGGATCTTGAACATTTAACTGAAAAAAAAAAAAAAAAGTAATGCTGTCTGTATTACTATTTTTTTTAAACTGTTCAATGATACCTTTTGCATTTTTCCAAGTTTAAACATAACTTTTTGTGAAGCATAAATGTTATTTTTAGCACAATATACAATTATCACTATCTGTTTTTCATTACATTTTGGCATTGTCTGCCAATATTATTGGAACAGAGATTTACTATTCTATTTATCCAAGACATAAAGAGATACAAGTTCAGAATAAACAGCAAATTCAGACATGAGCAATCAATTCATGAATTTTAAGTATTCATATGGGTAGTATAGAATTACAATGACAGAGAAGAAAGCCTGACTGTAAGGTGTAGCTGCTTAGGTCCCTATTCCCTCTTTGTAATTCATTTTGTTTGCTAAGTTTCAAACACAGACAGGTAAGGGAGGCTTATATAATTCAATCTTTGGAATTTATTATTTTTAAATGGGGGTGGGGTGTCTAAAATTAAAAGAAACTCAAGTTTAGTTTCTTTGCACTACACTTTTCTCTCCAGGATTTGCTTCTTGGAAGGTAAAGTAAGTGATTGTGCCTCAGGTAGACATCTTTACTCTGTGAGCTTATAGTCCATCAGTATCACTGTTCAGGTTTCATTTGTGGTCACAAAATGGCATTCAGTTTGGCCTCAATAAAGGCCTGTTCGGACAATCATTACTTGCAGCCATCCACAAGACAACAATCGGTCTCTAAGTAAGTGACCCACAAACGTAGACAGCTCCATACAGGAAGCCCTGGCTGAAGACAGCGTCTGCTCTCACCACTCAGAGAGGAACAAAGCGAACTGCTGGTAGCATGGCTGCAGGCAACCCACACCAGGACAGTTCACCTATTTATTGTTCTCCATTTCTATGCTCACCACAGGCAATTATGGAAAAGAAGGAGAGGAGGCGATTGTTTTCTCTAGTCTCTACCAATTTAAAGAAGCTATGCTCAACAGATGAAAATAGAATTAGTAGTATCACATACAGTCAGGTAAGCATTTCTTCTGACATGATAATATCACGACATTCATAATCTTCTCCACAGTTCCAATGTCTAATCAAAAATACACATATTCTCCAGATAGTATTTTGTTTGAAAATCTACAGAACTACAACAGGCATGATCCGTAGCCTATTCCCCAGAGAAAAAATTCAGTAGACATCCCCCCTGCCCTAATATGTTGGCACCCCAGACATCCCTTTTGCTGCCCACTCAAATTTAAACCAAGGGACACTGGATTTCAGCATGCAAGAAGCCATGAATCAACCTGTTTGTGGGGCTAGAGATTGCTATAGAAATCTGCTGTAAAGAAAGCAGAGAAATATAAGAGTAGTATACCTCAGACTAGTAAAAGCCCTTCCTGACCTCACTTCCAACAGTATTTTTTTCATGTTCCTTCTAATTCTTTCAAGTATTTTTCCCTCCATAAGAGATGTCAATTCTTATTCACACTCAAAGCTTACACTTATTCAACTCTCAAGTAATGATTTCTTTAAATTCTGTTTTCCACTATTTCAGAAACAGTGTACAGTCAACATAATAACTGTTTTTGCTTTCTTTCCCTAGCTTACTGCTAGCATGAGAATACCTCTTCTGAGATGCAGAACCCATTGTTAATGCTGTTATTGCATTTATAAATGCCGAGCACAGAAAGTGAGAATTATCAAGTGGCGAAACTTTCATACAAAGGAAAACACCCATCACATGTGACTACAGTCACATCAAGCACAGAACATCTTAATCCCTTTATCTTAACGTTCAACATTTAACTCAGAGATCTGCTAGCCAACCTTCTTCATAGTAACTATTTCTTTTCCTCAAGGTGACAAAACGTAGATATTCAATAATCAAATCATTTCTTACCATAGAAAACAAAAGCATGGTAATGAAAATGCAGTATGCAGATGCATTGTATCAGGTTATGGTATCTGATACCTGCATAGATACATACTTATCTAGTCTGCATTTATGTTAACATAGAACAAAAACCCAAAGTAAAACCAGTTTTCTGATATTAAAAAGAAAATAATTTAAAAAAAAAAAAAAAAAAACTGTCTTTTCTATTAAATGGAAGTGGGAGAACACCTATTGCTCAAAGTTATAGATAACCGCAAATTTGAATCACTGTTGGAGCAAATTAAATACCAAAGACTACAAATCTCATTTAGGGCTTATGTGGATCCGTTAGCAGCTAAGTATCTTTCAAAATAGCAACAAGACACTACGAAAATTTGTCTTCTTTTCTTTTTCATGTATTCCAAGAGACATGACTTAACCATCTCTAGTCCAACTGTTTTTACAAGCTGTCTTCCAAAAGGAGAATCAAGGATTATAGCAAGGTAAGATCAGAAAAAAATTAATGAAGTAGTGTCTAAACAAATTAAGAGCTTTTTCTTCTATTTTGAAATTCCATTTTTAAATTTAGACATTACTAGGCACTCAAGGTTCACCAAAATGATGTATTAAACAACTCAGAGAAGGTAAAACATATCTTGTTCTATTGTTTTATTACTTAATAAAAGCATTCCAGTGAAAAGGTCCAGAATAATCCCTGCAATTTTTAAGCAGTATCTAAAAGTTTTTCATGCCAGTACTGGTTAAACGTAGAAAGCAAGTAGCAAACAGTTTTTTCTTTAAGTTGGAAATATTGTTCATATTACTGTTGACCAACTGAACCCGTATTGATATTAATGTTAAACATCCTTTGAGGAACCATAACAATAACAATGAGCATGATTTCAAGGTAGTTCAGTATCTCCTACTCCTTGTGCATCATCATGCATCATCAGAAGTCTTGTGAGATTGCCTGCAATTTCCTTGCAATTACTGCAAAAATGTAGTGATTCACAGGCCTTGTCTTCTAAGCTGAAGAAACTCCACTGAGTAAGATGGACTAAAAATAAAATGTTGTGTACAAGTCTCCTCCTGCATAAAATTGCCTTTCAGGAAGGCCCTTGCTTCCAGTAACCTTCAGAGCAGAGAAAAATCATGCCCCGTCTATCTGTTCTTGTCCTTGACTGGGAAGTTCTTCCGCGTCCTGCGAGGCTGGTGTGTACCCGGCTCCTTACAGCGACATCTCTGCTTATCCGATGTCTTCCCCATGCAACTGTAACCCCCTTGTCTCCCCTTTCCTAAGCCTCTCTGACTGTGCCAACAGCAGTAGACAAGATAAAAGCGATAAAGTTTTATTCTGATACTTATTTTTCTCAGAATTAACTAAACAAACAAACAAACAAACACTCTTTCCTCGGGAGTTTGCTTGTTCTTTATAAAAGAACAATTCACAAAACTGGGAACAAACAAAGCAGCTGCTACCCACCACCACAGGAATGAACACTTGCCATGGTGAGCTTCTCTATCTGCTAGATGTGTCAACTCTGCCAGTTTAGTGGCTTCCTTATTGTCATCCACCACTGAGGAGGAACATTTGCTTGCAAGGAATCACTCCCCAGAGGCAAAAGAGGTACAAACAAACTCATGAATGCATAAAAGCACATCCAAGCAGAGGAGCATTGGTAAAGTTCTGACTTCTGTCTTCACAGTAATATTTTCTGTAATTACATAGATATAAAACATAATAGAAGGTCCCTAGAAGGATCTGCTTAATGCCACAGTTCAGCAGTACTGCTCTGAGACATGCCAATGTATTCCCCTCCTATGCCTCCTAGCTGGGAGTTTCATCACTCCTTGCAACTCCTTTGTTGATATGACAATTGGTAACATCTGTAATTTCTTAAGCTTAATACCTTTTGACCCTCTCCCTGCTCTCCCCCTCACTACTGCTACTACACTCTTTGAAGAGCAAGGCAATTAAATTAAAAAATAATAATAATAATAATTAAAGAGGGACTGAGAAAATAAAAGAGAGAGATGAAGCCCTAAACCAGCAGTCAAAGAGAATAGTTTTAAGGCGTTGTTACATAAAGAAATGAACATTTTCATCAAGGTTCCAAGGAAAGGTCTATTTATGGTGACATATTTATTTGTTCCAGAAGGTAAATCATTTAGCAAGGGCAGAAGCTCTGCAGCAAAACCTTCTTATTTAGTTTGTAATAGCCCCTTTATAAGCCCTGAGACATATTTCCCACTTCTGTGTCTGCTTCCCACTTGACTTCTAGCCCTATTCTGCCTTTAAAATGGATCAGGAAATAACATAGTGGTGTTTTTTTCCTTCCAATTTATCTAACCATTTTGTATACCTCAGTGTCTCTCCCTCTGTGGTGGTTGCATTAACAACTACAACACACCCCTGCATCAACACAGGCTGATCAGCCACTGTGGAGGCAGCACTCAGCAGCATCTGCTTCCTTGAGCAGAACCTGTATGCAAAGCTCAGTATAAAATAACTTTGAGCGCATCTCCATCCGGAGTCTTTACACGATCTTTTTGTTACAGCACTCAAGTGCATGTAATCTAGTGTATCTATTCTGACCTCCATCGCTGTTATTTTAATAGACCAAGACCTAAGATGCAGAAACCCAAAGGGAAGTTGGAATTTTCTTAGTTGGAAGAAGAGTAGAGAGAAATGGACCGACGTTATCTGAGAGAAGGTGTGAGTATACTGAAGTTACCATTTGTCCATCTCTCAGGTGTCATTTTTCCAGTTTTCCTGTTCAAGACATGCTTCAGCCCCAGTTTCCATACTTCTCTTTCTAACTTTGACATGGTGAAATACTATGGATATGTAAACAAGTTTACATTTAAACAAGAATTTAACAATTATATT